AAAATTTGCGTCGGGTTACGACCAACTCACGATACGCCCAGAGTCACAGAACGCATTAAGTTCGTATCCCGAGGTACCACTGTATTGCTTTTGGGGTTTGGTAGGCTATATTTCTGCCTCCATTAAAGTTTGTGTCTTAAGGCCTGCCAACAGGATTTACAATACCTATATTAAACTAAATTTAAGAGTAAGGGTGCTCCTGCTGCTAAGATTGTCAGATCACAGATGTACAAAAGGAAGGAACTGCAGCTGCAACTTTAATGGTATGAAGGATAAGCTACAGTAAGTATGTTGGAAAAAGAGCACAGTAGTATATATAAGAATAAAGAAAATCCTTTTATCATTTATGAATTCCAAAATGACTGACAAGTTTGCTTTGTTTTACTGTACTGTTGTTGTTATTCTGCTTAAAATAAATGCTGGTTCAATTCCATACAAGACTAATAATAATACTACATTATTATCACTGCAGTGCATTAGTTAGTAATACACACTAACATACTGTATTTGAATGCTCTTATATGTGCCAATTTCATCCATAACTTGTTTGTTCTTTGGATTATTTTTAGTATTGGCTAGAATTTAAGTGCAGCTTTTCATTATACAAATAGACATTTTGTATCAAAAATCAAATCAAATTCCTATATTTTAGTCAATGACCAGGGTAAGTCAAAAACTGCAGACAAAAACAAAAGCATGAAGGCAATAAGGTGAGCAATAAAAAAATACAAAACAAATACAAAACTAAGAATACTAGATCCCTGTGAGCAATTAAACAAAATTTGGATGTAGGTAATGTAATATACCTACAAACAAGCAAGATGTCTGGCTCTCACAGACCTGTAACTACTTCTTTAAGAGGCTCCTCTGTCCTCTACTCGTTACCTGTAGTAATGGCACTTGTATGTCTTCCATTTTCTAATTATTGCTCCCACAGTTGATTTCTTCACACCAAGCTGCTTGCCTATTGCAGATTCAGTCTTTTGTATGTCTTCCATTTTCTAATTATTGCTCCCACAGTTGATTTCTTCACACCAAGCTGCTTGCCTATTGCAGATTCAGTCTTTTGTATGTCTTCCATTTTCTAATTATTGCTCCCACAGTTGATTTCTTCACACCAAGCTGCTTGCCTATTGCAGATTCAGTCTTTTGTATGTCTTCCATTTTCTAATTATTGCTCCCACAGTTGATTTCTTCACACCAAGCTGCTTGCCTATTGCAGATTCAGTCTTTTGTATGTCTTCCATTTTCTAATTATTGCTCCCACAGTTGATTTCTTCACACCAAGCTGCTTGCCTATTGCAGATTCAGTCTTTTGTATGTCTTCCATTTTCTAATTATTGCTCCCACAGTTGATTTCTTCACACCAAGCTGCTTGCCTATTGCAGATTCAGTCTTTTGTATGTCTTCCATTTTCTAATTATTGCTCCCACAGTTGATTTCTTCACACCAAGCTGCTTGCCTATTGCAGATTCAGTCTTTTGTATGTCTTCCATTTTCTAATTATTGCTCCCACAGTTGATTTCTTCACACCAAGCTGCTTGCCTATTGCAGATTCAGTCTTTTGTATGTCTTCCATTTTCTAATTATTGCTCCCACAGTTGATTTCTTCACACCAAGCTGCTTGCCTATTGCAGATTCAGTCTTTTGTATGTCTTCCATTTTCTAATTATTGCTCCCACAGTTGATTTCTTCACACCAAGCTGCTTGCCTATTGCAGATTCAGTCTTACAATGTGATTTTCTGGATTTTTTCCCCCATTTTGTCTCTCATAGTTGAGGTATACCTATGATGAAAATTACAGGCCTGTCTCATCTTTTTAAGTGGGAGAACTTGCACAATTGGTGGCTGACTAAATACTTTTTTGCCCCACTGTAAAACTTTCTCTTAATGGTTCTTTTAGTTTGGATGTAATCCAAAAGAAGGAGTTGTTCAAACAACACCCTGTAACTATTGCTTGATGCTAAGAAGATTGAAAGTGATCCACAAGAACTAAGGGGATCAGTTCTGATGGGAAATAATGGCATTTGAGCCAATAGGGGAAATTAGTAGGCAAGCCATCACCTCAACTTTTGATTGGCCTGCTTCCACTCTGAGATTTGCACTGGTTACACATATGGGTGCTTGGAATATTGTTCATAAAAACTTAATTTGTATGATCTCTAGTGGCCTGTAATATATACATGCCCCCAATTGAGCACCATCAAGTATTTGGGCCATGGGTATTACAATAAAAATCTTCCCAAAGCTTCTGTTTTACAGTTTAACGCTACCACCTTTCTTGTGATTTGGGAGTAGCACCTTAGCATTTCTGCTTGTATGCATTCCCTATCCTTTGTCTGCTGCATTCTCTATCCTTTGATTTTCATAATGGATGCTGTACTTGGTCTTGTGAAGAAATATGATCAATATGGGCCTTTCAAGCACAATATTCTGGAACACTACACCCAAATATTTGAAGTTCTTTACCTGCTGAATTTCCTTTTCTTCAATAGTCCATTTAAATCTTCTGAATTAAATGTTAATTAAGTATTGACAAATTTAAATCTTAATTAAGTACTGACAAAATTGATTTTATAAGAACATTATATAACTTTAATTTTTCACTATGATAGTTCTAATGTAATAGAAGCTATGCCTTTAAGTTCAACTTACTTGATAGTATTATGAAAAAGTTTGGTTGTACAATTACGGTGAAATCTAGTTTTAATGGATTAATTGGGGGCAGAGGTGTCTGTTATTTAGGAATGTCAGATGGATCAGAGAGTAGGTCAAAGGGAGAATTTGCATCTGCATGATTATATTGTTTGCATCATTTATATCATTTGTATAATGATGTCATTATCAAATGTCATAAATCATTGTGGAAATTTGAGGCTAATATAGCTTATGCCAAATTGATGTTAATATTAGATACCCATATACTACAGTCATAACTTGTCATAAGTGACAGCAGGTATCTTGATGTATGTTTGAATTATTTCTGTCTGCAAATATTTGGAATGAATGTCTTGACAAACTGAGAACTAATAATAATCTGATACTAATTTTAAAAATATTCTATATTTATTTAGTTCAAAATGAGTATATTTCCTCCAATACCTATACAAAGTCCAAAACCACATCCAAGTATGGAAGAGATGAGATGCCCTTTACCACCTCTTGCAAGGTATATATTTCTTATTTTTATTTGCTTTCTTTTCAACTCAATTGTGATTCTTTGAAACTAAAGCTCTAATAACAGAATAATTATAATACAGTAACCAAGCCACAGTAAGTCAGAATTATGTGTTTTGGATTAAAATCATGATATACATGAAGAATATTCTAGAAAGTAGAATTAAGGAAAGATTTCTATTATTTTTAAAATTCAAAATGACAACACTTGTAAATAGCTAGTAGTTATAAATAGTACAGTATATTATACTCGAGAGGTTTAATTTACATTTCCTGTTTCTTAGGGCAGCTGTCATTGGGGATAAATTCTTATTTCCTCACTTTTTTTTTTTTTAACCTCTCAGTTACAACTGATTATTAATTGTGCTTTTGTGTGGAATTCTGTAAAGCCCATTATTGTGAGGTTTGGGATAGTATTTTGAAACTTTGCACATTTATACATATAAGTATTAAAGTCAGTTAAGTTTTATGTTCTATTGTATTAATTTTTGTACTGCAGTAATACCAAACCTAGCTATAGCTATAAATATAAAGTAATCCACATTTTTCAGTATAAAGATTATACAAGCCTTCCTACCTTTCTTTGGAAATTATAGGAAACTGCTGACATATACCAAGTTTGCACTTTAAAAAAAAATGCTGTGTTGTATGTTTCATTTTATAAGATTACTTAAAGTAGTGAATATTTATAGAAAGAATATTTTCTGTTAGCGTACATAATCAGTAAGACAGCAGAAATATAACATGGCTCATTTTTGTTATATTTTATCAGAATAATAAAGTATAAGAGAGAGGGAGAGAGAGAAATTTTATCTTATAGAATGAATGAATACAATGAAACTTATTTCTAAATAGATATAAGTCTAAAAGTCTGAAGTTCCTTATCAATTCATTAACATTATTCACCTCAAGGAAGCTACATTTGGACTCTTTCTGAATTACCAGACCATGTATATTCTGATTATACTTTATTAGTTTGGTATATATCTGTATGCATAGATCTGTGTACAGTACTGTAATAACCTAGTCTCACAGATCTGATGGCAGATCCATTCTGTCTTCCCCAATTTACAAACTTAAGTTTGCAGTATAGTACAGAAAGAGTGTCTCCAGAAGATTAAAAATAAAATGGAAAACATCATGGAATATAAGTGCAGAGGTCTGCGCTGGAGAAATTTTGATTAAAATTAGGGTTATTGTCCTACAAAATACAGCAGCAATGTGACTAAATTGTTTTAAGTACACTTAACAGAGAGCTGTGATCTATTGATGATTTATGGGTGAGATGCTTGTTTTCATAGATACACATTTTTCATCTCTTATTCTGGAATTTACAGTAATACATTTAAAGACTATTTGTATAAACCTATGTATTTTATGTTATATTTAGTTATATTTATAAAAATGTTTTTATATTTGCTGTTTATCTTTGAATCTGCTACTTGAAGTGCTAAGCTCACGAAGGTTTAGTATGGCCACTCTGAGCACCTCCTCATATCACTCTGAAGTAGGTTGAGCAGAAAAATGGTTAATTTGCTACATCACCCACTGAGCTTCCATTGCTGAGGGTGGAATTGCACCTGGTCTCCCCACTTCTTAGCAATGTTTAGGTTAAGCTGTCTCTTCAACCCAGGAAAGGTTTAAGTTAGCATAGGCCCTTGTTTTCACAGCACCCATGTTGGCCTTTAATTAAGGTAATGAATTTAAAGCTATATAGCTGCTTCTCCAAGGAAAATGCAATTCCATCCAGGGTGAGTAGATTACCTGATACCTGTTTCCTAGACTCAAGAATCATCCACCCAGAGAGTCTTCTACTAAGATTTATACACATCCAATGCTACACAACTTTGTTCTACTTTGTAATTTGTCTAAAGTAATATCAGTACTTTGGCAGTGGTTATTATTTCACTTAAGAAAGCAAAGAAAGCAAATTTATTCTGCATGCCATGGACAAGTGTAACAAGGTTTGCTACATGGACAGTGAACATGAAAGCAATGAATAAAAGAAATCTTCTAAAGCTATGTTTATTATTCTCCAAAATAATAATAATAATAAAGATTTGAAATAGGTTCAGATCAAAAAATTAAAATTATATTTGTACATTTTATAATATTAGTTTGAAAAATACTTCATCAATATTTTAATCCATACTTGCCTTTGCCCGGGCAAGGGTTAGTTCCTAATATATGGAGCATATTGTGATATTAAGTCATCTTTCAGTGTTCTTTATTTTTTTGTTTAAATTTAGGATGCATTTGATCAAAGGAAAAGATGCCATAGATCGTTATTTGGCCATGCATATCAAAGGATTGTCAAAACAAGAGGCTGCTGCGTAAGTAAGGTCTTTCTGAGAATTTTATACTGCAACTTTATTATTTTCTTTGTTTCTAGTGCTATTCATTGATATCTGAAATTCCTCAGGCAATTTTCAGAAGAACATGGCATTTAAAAATTAAAATTGATATTAAATAATTATGTTTCACTGCTACTTATCTTGCATATATTAAAGACGTTAGATCAATGCCTGTGTTTGGTAAATGATTTACTGAACTGTTAGTGCTTTTATAGCATTTGATTATCTATTAGCAATTTAAAACATATATTTTTCCTTCATGGGTGTTTGAAAGCCTCTCAAGGATGAAATTTTACTTTCCAAAATACAATTACATTTGCAAAGTTGCTCTTTAAAATTCACTAGTGCTTTGAAAGCTAGCATCTAAAAACTGCTAAGAGAAGTACCATTTCATGCAAGTGAAACAGCAAAATAATGTTTTGTATAGTGTGTACTATAACATTTTAGTGTTATTCATTTTCAAAAGTGTTGCTTGTTTGCTTGTGCTATTGAAATTTTTGTAATAATTCAGTTTTTGTTCAGGAATTGCTATTTTAGCCATTGATACCTTAATTACATGTAAAATAAAATATCACTGCAGATTAAATGTGATTCTTTTTTCAAGCAGGCAAACCTGGAGCAGCTATTCTTTGATAGTCTCCTGAATTATCTTTTTATGGTATCTTCTCCTTTATTATGTACACTGTCATTAAAAATAATATTCACTGTCTTGTATTTAAAACAAGCTGGATTTTTAAAGGCTATGCTTGAACCCTAAAGAACTTTCAAAAAGCTCTGGTTTAACATAATCAGTCATATAATATCATCCTGAAAAGCCATTTCTTTCAAGGATTATTTGGGGCTTGTAAGTTTTTTATGATTTCTATGAAGTCCAGTGCCAGAGCTTGAATGTATGCCTCTTTGGTTTCTGGAAAAACAACTTCCATGGGCCCATCAATAAACTATACAACTCTGGCCCTCTGCCTTTCTCCTCTTGCTTTTTTTGATAAGAAAATCTTTGATGGAGTCCCAAATGATTCCCTTTGATCATGCTTCAGGTTGCATATTATGGAGGACATAGGGCAAAAATGCTCTCTTATTTGGAGAAAAAATCTTCAAAGCATTTGATGAGAGACTGCTAAGGGTACCTCTGTGCCCATACTTGCACCACATTGGGATCAACTGTAGACTTGATTATCTCTATATGATTTTTGGTTTTGGGAGCTGAGCCGATTTATTTCTGATTCTGCTATAGTTTACTGGAAATTGAACAAAAGTGGTATTTTCTTTGCCTTACTGTAGCTTTGTAATCTTTATTGGTGATATTTTTCCCATTGGGTCCCTCAGCCTATCTCCTAGCCTTTACTCTTTCTCTCTCTCTACTCCCACCCCATACAATTCAGTGTCCTGTTCCTGTAGCCTATCTTTTTTTGTATACACTATTTACAACTTGTCTCTCTCACTTTCCTAATCCAGTCACTATAGCAACAGGCAACCATGATTACACAACTGAGAAAAGAACCCAATTGCAAAGTTGCCAACATGCCATCATTTTACCTTCACAACTCATAGGGTTTTCTCATGCAAAAGAGGAATGTCTGCAAAGTAGCTGGGACACCTTTTGCAAGCTTCCCACCAAAGCAGCTTCAGGTTTTTTGCAGAGATGTCCCCAGGATCCATCAAAATGACAAAAGCAGCATTGTGTTGTCACGATGTGCACCCCCTTCATACAGGCATGTGACATCACAATACATGTTACAAAAGGGCAGAGCTTACATTGCATCAATGTGACATGCTTTTGTCATTTGCTCCCCCTGTCCCCCCCCCAAAAAAAACAGTGGAGACAAATAAACACAAATAGATATATTGAGAAGCATAGATAGAAGGATTAGTTGCATAAGTAATTTCTTTAATTGTCTTCTCATACAGAATGGAGGTGAGAGGGTTTTTGTTACTCCATGACTGGGGAGGGTGTTTTGAGGGGAGGTAGAACATTTTCTGAATGATGCTCCTTTAGTCTTCTGTTTATCATTTAATAGGTTCATGATGTTCTTTGCACAAATCTGCATTTTGAGGTGGCAGAAATAAAAATGTTGAGCTGATTTTAAGCTGTTGGTGGGATAGAAATGCTGGTGATATGAAAGTAACTTCAGGCTAAGGTTGTTTATCCGCTGATACAACATTAAATGAATTCCACAGTGTCTTTTTCTAAGTAAGCATGCATAAACAACAAATAAAACTGTACTAAACACAGGACCATGTCCTGAAACACATCCCTTATATTATAGGGGTTCAACAAATTCAGCAACATGGACCTGATACTACAAAGTCCAAGAGCTATTTTACAAAAAGAAAGTTGTAAAAATATTGAAATACAGCACTGAGTATTACTGATTGAAAAAGTCCCTGTGGTGAACTTATAACTGGTCAAAATAAACTATTTTTACCACTGTAAATTAAAAAATGCTTATCCTCATCTTAAGTCTGTCTTGAAAGTTGTGCATCAATGGCACCTAAATGCCTCCCATCATATTGTATCATCAATTCTCCTGTTTCAAACAGTTGTTGGAATGTCTGTAGATATTTATTTATTCAATTTATATAGCCATCCATCTCACTTTTATGTGACATATAGATACTCTCACACATAAGTAGCTCAGATTTCTGGTAGTATTTATATTCTAGAAGGAAATTATTCAATTTTTGTCAAACATTAAGCTTTGCCAGACTTTAATTCTTCTTTCAGTTTTCAAGGGCAGTAATGCTACTTTGATGTATAAAGACTTGATCAGTTTTCATTGCTTGGAAATCTGCTTCTGTGAGCCGCCCTGAGTCATGCAAGTAAGATGGGCGGCTGTATAAACTGGATAAATAAAATAGAATAAATACAATAACATTATTCATATGTACACACATGACAAATCCTTCAAAGAAATGCTTCGTAAGCTGTCTCCACATGTGTGTGAATGGGCAGCCTTTTAGCTTCAGTGAGAAAATTTTTTAAAAGCAAAATGTATGTGCATGCACACACAAGCAAGGTCAGCTGGGAGCAGGTTACAAATCAGCTGCATAAGCCTGGAAAAAGGTGAGGTTATTTTAAATATTCAAATGCTTATGTTCATTGTAGAACAACTCTTTCAAAGGATCTGTACAGCCCTTGTTATGAACATAAAGAATTGGATAAGAGACAACTTCTCAAGAATAGCTTTGATTGCTTAAGTGTACCTATAATGGTTAGGATACTTCAACACTTTTATAAAGTAATATATTTTAAAAGTTATTTATTTTAAAAGAAATAAGCCAGAGCATTTTGTCATAATATTTGAAGACAATAATGTTGATAGAAGAGATAGTTAGGTGAGATTGCATATGTCATCTTTACTGATTCCCAGTTCTGCAAATATGTCAAAATTTACAGAAATATTTGATTAAATATTAGGTAAATTAAAACTGGTTTTGAAAGAATGCTTTAAAAATGAGATGAATTTACCAATATACAAAATTGACCATATTGTGCCTATAAAATAAGTGCATGTAATGCAATAATGGTGCATTGCAGAAATATTTCCTGAAGTTGTTTTGTTTTAGAGTCTAGATCTTTCACACCAGAGGAATAATAGATGACTGCAATTCAGTATATCGGCTGAAAGATTATGTCAGCCTTCATTGAAAAGATTTGTGTGTTAGAAATGTTATATTCAGTTCATACATTTCTGCTTAGAAGCATTGAATTTAATGGGAATTATTCCCAAGTAAATGATTATAGGATCACAGATTTAAAGCAGTCCCTGGTATAACATTGAAATATTCAAAATCAAACTTTTTCCTTTTGCAAGTAAATTATTCAAATAAGAAATGTACAGTTGTCTTCCCATATTTCAATGCAATAGAATGGTAGGTCTAATTATTCTTCAACATATCTTGGTTGACCTATATTATACTCAGGACCTCAGTTTACTTCCACTTTTTAAAAACATTCACCAGGAACAGATATACAGTAGATATGTAAAACTTAAGATCCAATTTGCTATGGCCTGGATGTGAAACTAAATACTGTAAAATGAAGAAATCAAATGTAAGACTGCATAATCCTCTGTTTTTTTGTGTTGAATTTTTAGCTGCAAACCTGCACTTCCTTAGTTGAAATTAATTGACATTGAACTCAGTAGAATTTCTTTCTCAGGATGCCCTCATGGAATTAGTCTATTAATGTGGATTAAACATTCGTTGACTACTCAGGTAAGACCTGCTCCATGAATATATTGCTTTATTCAGAAGCAAGTCTTATTGTCACACTAATGCACTTCTAAGATTACAGTATTACTTTACTTTACCAAAAGTACAATCTGTCTCCAGTCATCCAGAGCTCTTTGTTCACTGCTATCTTAATTACATTTCCCCTATTTCCAATGAACTATCATTTATACCTTAGTCCTGTATATTAGAGATATATGGTCTAATAACCATGGCTACATGTGTCCCCCACCAAACCTTGGATGCTCTTAAAGCCCCTTCAAAAATTGCTATTGAATTATAATATCTGATGTGACAGAAAGTGGAGGACCTGAAATATATGTGGAGCAACTGTATTAGTTATACTTAATTTCAATCCTAATTAAATACATTCATTTTTGTTTGCTGTCCTGGCCCCAGCTACTTTTGAAATACAACTACCAGACCTACTATTCAAAAGACATATGTGTCCTTCTAAAAAAAAGTTGTAAATAGAACCATAAAATTAATTGGAATCCATAATAAAATTTTTGCAAAGAAAAGTGCTGTTCTTCAGAATACTAGCCAACTAGCTAGCTGTATACTTTTCAGGAGTAAGCCATTCAGCCTCTTAACTGTGTCTTTCTGGCCCCATAATTAGTATCTTGGGGTCACTGAACATACTCTGTCCCCATTAGGACATTTTTCCCCTCCCCGTTTTTGAACTACTCTGAATTTGAGGATTCCCCCAATCCTAATCTCTCTTGTGCATGCCTGGTCCAATTTGG